TGATTTTAAAGAAAGTCTTATATTACTTGAAACGATGCGTATATTTGCGTAGTATCCATAGCGTGAAAACTTATTATTTATTTTCTAAATCATTTTATTTATTCACACTAGCCGTTAAATATAATTTATGTTAAATTTTTTTACAATATTTTGAAGTATAAAATAACTACGTAATTACGGGTCAGGTTCAATACATGTTAACAAGGCTTTTATTGCACCTCTTCCTATCAAGTTAGATACAAGTACTCTCATAACATTTGAGAGTTTACTTGTGTCATTCCCTAGTGAGCTCATTATTGAGACTCCTATCATATCGGACATGCACATAAATGTTTTGGTCACCGATCATCAACCTAACCTTATTGATCAATTTCTGAAGATCGTGCTTGATAAGATTTCAATTTTTAACAAAGGTTGATGCACGATTACCTTCTAATATATACATATATATCATGCCTCAAATCCTAAGCTCAACTTTTTTGACCTCAGTGATATACTTGAAAAGGCTTCTCTTAGAGACAACATAATTTACTCGGCATACCTTAAGGAGTTCAATAATGAACCATCGTCTTTATGTGATACAATCTCACTTAGATCTTAATAACAAGGTTTAAATGCCTCTTGACATAACTCATTATATGATACAACAATTTCATTACCACAATATGTACAAAGTCATTCACATATGCTACAACTAGTTCATTAGTGACACTATTATCAAAATTATTTCTCAAAAATATTCAGATAATAAAATATACTCATGATGATTATATTTTAAATAAGCTTAATTGCCCAATCTGTTGCGAAAAACGACGGCAATAAAATAAAAATTGAAACGAAAAAATTCGCAAACCAAAACACAAAAACACAGATTTACGTGGTTCGACAAATTGGCTACGACCACGGAGCTGCAGAAGATTTTATTACTTTGAGGATTTACACCGTCGTCGATCGCCTCAACGATTACAAGAAAAAGCTCTCTCTTTCTCTACCCAAGACTCGATCGCCTCAACGATTACAAGAAAAAGCTCTCTCACTTCTCTCTCTTTCTCTACCCAAGATCCACACCGAAAAGGACCTGAAAAATAAAGCCTTGTGATTCCTTTTTGTATTCCTGTCGCTTACCGCCTGCTTTAATCAAGAATCGCTCCTTCTAAACCTCACCGAAAAGCTCATCAAGCAAAAAAGGAAGCCCAGGAATATTTCCTTTCTCCAATTCGTGAATAGTTTGCTTCCTTAAATGTGAAAATACGGGAGATGGGATCATAATAGTAAGAAGAAGATTTGGCGGGGTCCAAAAGGAGAAAGCATGCATGCTTTTAACCGCAGGGATTAAATAAGTAACAACATATTTGTTGTCAAACATGAGAAACCCTCGCCTAAACAGTGGAACGGGCTCCACAATACTCAACAAATCTCTCAATTTGAGACATATACACTGATTGTACGTCTACTGACTACATCGTTCTTTTCCTCGAACGTGATATCCTTCACCTCTGCAACTCAAAACCCTTATCTTCAAGCTAGAAGACCAACTGAACTCGAGCACAACTTCAGTTTCTCAAGTGTAACACCCTTAATCAACATATCAACAGGATTCTTGCTTTCACAAATTTTCTCAAGTAGCAATTGTCCGTCATCTAACAAGGACCGTATGAAGTGGTACCTAAGCTGAATGTGCTTGGTCTTAGATTGAAATGTTGGGTTCCTGGCAATGAATATGACGCTCTGACTATCACTGTAGAAAGAGTCCTTTTGAACCTCCTTACCCAATTCTTCCAAGAAACTTTGTAGTCATATCATCTCATTTGCAGCCTCTGACACTACAATATACTCAGCTTCTGTAGTAGACAAATAAACTATCTTCTGTAGATTTGAGTCTCATGACACTGCAATATCACCAAGAGTATAAACATAACATGTAGTACTCTTCATGTTATCAATGTCTTCAGCTAAATTCAAAAGAATTATTAAGGCTTCTTCTGTTTAGATAAGTTTAACGGCTTGTTTAGACCAAGTAAATTCAAAAGAAAATAGTGATGTAGGGGTGATAGAACCGCAGGATCTTAACCGACGTCGCTTAACTTAAAATAAAATAAGTCCCCCTAAGCACTCCAACAAAAACAAAAAAAATAAAAAAAACACGATACATAAATAATCATAATACATAATGCATAAACCTTGGAGCTGCTATTGTAATGAGGAGCTTTGAGCGGACTACATGTAGAGGTAGTCATTTTACAATAGCAAAACAAGTCTACACCAGCTAAATATTTTTAGTCTAAATAACAATTCATAGAACTTCAAGGTAATTCACCCAGTGTGGTGTAAATCCTCACATCCTTAGGTCCATGCACGATCATGTTGTGCAGCGTAAGTCATAACTCGCCTTAAGTTCTGAGGTTGTCGTTCGGTACGATGTAAACCCTCTTATCTCCGGGGGGCTATTTGCATAATCGAGTATTGTGCAAGCGTAAGTCCCAAATAATAAAATTGCCAGAACTGAATACTTAAATAACATCGTCTCCAAAACGCAACCACACAGTAGAATAGTTTGGGAAGTCACTGAGGGTTCTCCTCAGGACCTGTGACATCGCTTACCTCTTCCTTCCTTTGGACTCCTAAAATACTGCTCTCATTTGATCCTTTCCAACTTGATTTTCAGCATCCTACGGTTAAAACCTAAACCTTAAATTTTTGAAGACTAATACCTCTGATCATTATCGAGAGTTTTCTCAATTGACCTCGGTCATTTGAGATGTAATTAACTATAGGGGATTGCCGCTATAGGGAATTTAAAACTCAGGTAAAATAAACCCTACATAATCTTTATATTAGATCGTGGGACTTGTCGGTCATACATAAAAGATTTGTAGACTAAATAAATGTCACAAATCTCTTATTTTGTATGATTGGATCCATCGCCGAGATATACACTTATCTTTCGGGAAAATATAGTATTCGTAGTATCAGACACAATTATGTAAACTATTAGACAAATGAAATTGATTCGGTCTCATTTTTCAAAATTAAAAAATCACTATTTTCAAAATAAAAAAATTACATATCCTTTATATTAAATTAAATTTAATGAAATTAAATTTAATAAGACATTTGCAAAATAATGACTGACACCCATTTGACAGCTATAGGAGAAATCTTTAGGAAAAGTATGATCTAATTCAAGGGAGAATCTCACTCCGGTTAGAGGCTCTTTATTATAATTTAGGAATTTATTTTGAAATTAGGATTCACACACCTCTAGAACTTCACAATATTCTGAAACTTCAAACTAAAGCTAGGATTGGTAAATTAGAAGATCACCTTTTTGAAAAATAAAATATTTTCTGTTAGAAAAATATACTTACTCATAATTTATATACGACTTGATCGGGCGTATATTTGCATGATTAACATTTGCATCGCTGCAGAGTCTATCAAATCCCAACTATTACACCAAAAGACATCTTGATATTTAAAACTTGGGCTTTAATTTGCTTAAGAGGTTTCATAGAAACCTAGAATAAATGTTAACAGAAATAAAACATGAAATAATTTTGAATAAAAATTTTTTTCATACCACGATAAGAAACATGAATGATTCCAGAAGATTCTCACCATCTGTATAGGTCTTCAATCTAACCAAGTTTCCAAAATCACATAAACTTGTGAAGAATATTTCTACATGATAAAACAGGCGGCCCCCTCACCACGCCACTAAAGGCATGTATAGCTCTATTGATAAAACTATGAGGCGAATATATAAAGGAAAAAGCCCATTAGGCCATTACCTCTCCTATGGGTGGAATCCTATGGAGGTGTGCATTGAAATTTAATCACAACCCTTTGCCCGCCTAGGATTTTGAATATTTATAATAATAACATAGCATCCCCATCCTTATTTTGAAGGGAAAAAAAAAAAGCTTTTTGCCTTAAAGGTGACGTAGGACTAAACATCACCATTGTCAGTGGCAGCCACAAGGTAATATTTTTCCTTTAGATATAAGCACCAACCTAAACGCAAATAGCTTTGTAACCACGTGTGCGATGAATCACAACCAAGTCTTTATGGTTCTGCTCCTAAGAATATAAATACGGTCCCCGTTTGGGAATACAGAAAAGATCAATCGGCCTAAGTTCAGGCACAATCCGATAATATGTCGTGAATAAAAAAATAAAGGACACTAGTAGACGAAGGCTGCTCATAGGTTGCATGCATCAACTCATGAAACCAAACATTAGTAGAAGCAAACATGCACTGTGAGTTTCCTTTTTGGCTTGTAAACATGACCTTAAGTCAAAGTTATAAGAGACGGATATATCACTGTATATTTTAGATATAATACCATAAAGCAATGTAAAAAATAGGATGCAACTAAAATGCCATTTCTATTACAACTACAATATAGAAACTATTATATAACTATTGAAAATCTTGGAAATGACAAATTTTCGTGATCATTAGCCTTATCCTAAATATTTGGAGCAAACCTTCTTAAAAAAAATCATTTATTCCTAGTAAGTATTTTCTAAAGCATCGAACTTGTTTCAAGGATCATTTTCTAATAAATTCAATGATTGTTATCTAGTATATTTCTTTTTTATTATAATCTTGCAAAACTATTTTTATTAACCTAATGAGTGCATTTTATGCCCTTCGTTATATAATCTCCAAACTATTAACTCTATTTTCAACTATCTTATCTTCAATATATGCAACTCCAATCATTCGTTAATACCCTACATAGTTTTACTCTACCACCCATAACAAGTCTAATTGCAATTTTATAAAATTTATCTTCAAATTTCTATGATTTCCTCTTATTACTAAAAACTTCTAGGGCAATTCTATATTTTAATCACCGACCTTAACTCTAAAAATTTGTCATCATCTACTTGCCTATTGTCCATTATTCAATATAATACATCCAAGGACTATTTTTGAGGTATGAAGCAATCAATGAGAGTAATAAAGGTGATTTGAAAAGATTTAATCAAACCTTAACTCCTCCTTTCTCTTCAGCAACTTGGCCTTTTAGAAGAGTTGTTTGGGGCCTTGCACCGACACCAACAACAACAATATGAGCGTCTAACACTCTCCCATCCTTCAATTTTACTGTTGTAACCTGTCATGTTCATGGTATTAATCAATAAATAATAGACGTAAAATACATTATACATTATAAATGAAGCAAAGGACAAGAACTCACATTCCCATTAGCATCAGAGTCAAAACCAACCGCTGTGGTTCCCTTAATTATTTTAATTCCCTTATTTGCATAATAACCCTCGTAGAAAGCAGCAATACCAGCAGTAAAGAGTCGAGGCACTGTAGCAAATACAGAGAGAGTAGAAGATGCCTTGAGTATTCTCTCAACGATCAAAGAGCTCAGGCTCAAGCAATATGCTCCCTAATTCCCAGAATAGGGGTCATAGATTTGAGCCAGTCTATGACTTCCTTCAACTAAATATAAGCTAGTTTCATGCATGGAATTCAATACATAAATGGCTTTCCCTTATTTGTAATTAACGCCATTTGTACTTACATGTAACTGGTCATGTCCGCTACTTTTAATTAATAAATATTGATAAATTTACATACATAACACACAATTCTTATGCATTTGCATACGTAGCACTTTGTTGCTTTAAAGCTATGCATGAAAAAGTGCATTTCACTTTTTAAAAGAAATAATGGTGCTATTTTTTTATGTGATATTAAATATTTGAGTGATATGTGTGTAACCATGAAAGTTTGGGTGTGAGATATGTAAATGCCCCTAAAATATTGATATAAGCTTCTATCCTTAAAAATTCATCTCATAGCTTGTTTAATATTTCACTATGAAGTAGAACTTTAAGAAGTATACACAATTAAAGTGTACTAGAGTTTAATTAAATATTTCCTATTTATTTCTCAATCTTAAATTAAAATCTAAAAATGACTAGCTTATAGAAAACGCAGAAGCAAAAGGAAAAAAAAAGAAGCTAAGTGTCACTATTCCCATGAGCAGAGGGAGATGAACTTACTGCACCAGGGCTCAGGGTAAACCATAGTGACATCAAGTTCATTTATTTTAAGAGCTGCGCCAAGCTCAAGTCCAATATATCCACCTCCAATAATTATAGTCTTTGCATTTTTCCTCGCTTGTATAGCTGACAAAAGCTTATCAGCATCATCAATCTCCCTCAAGTAAAAAATATTTTTGCTATCTGCCCCTTGAATGCCAAAGTCAGTAAGCCTCGTGGCCTACATAATACAAGCAAGAGCTAGCTTCAGGAATGTTGTAAATGGCTAAAAGGCAAAAAAAAAAAATACTTGCTTAATCAAAAATGCATGCGATCAAAACAAAAACATTATAAGTAAATATTAAAGTTTGCTGCATGAAAAGCACGCATGTCTATTTTTTATACCACTGAACCGGTAGCAACAATCAAATTGTCGTAAGTGAAAGTTGCACCAGCCACACTAGTAAGAGTGTTAGCAGCTAGTTCGGCTTTTACAATTTCAGTGCTCAGTATCAGCTCTATTCCTGCATTAGAAAACAAGTATATTCACCAGCACAATCCATTAACTAAATCGAAGAAAAGGCTTGGCTGCATGTAGTGAATACCTCACATTATACCCCAACTAAAGATGACAATAATCGCTTTGTAAAACTCCTGTTAAATTTTTGGAGAATTTACATACCTAGCACACAATTCTTATGTATTTACATATCTCACATCTATACTTGCATATTTACAAACATAGCATTCTGGTGTTTTACACCTATGCGTGTAAATATGTATTTCACTTTTAAAAAGATGTGATATTAATGATTTGAATGTTGTGCGTAAATATAGAAGTTTAGTCGTGAAATATTTAAATACATTAGAATTGTGTGACATGTATCTAAATGCCCCTAAATTTTTTCCTTGAGGATAGAAAAGGTAAAATTAGGAAAGCAAGAACCACCTTTTTCAGAATACCATTCGGGAAGTAGTCTCTCTCCACCACTCCCAACACATACATGAAACCCAGGGAGCCTTGCAGCACCTGAAAACCCACAAAAAACATCACTATGGAAACTTAGAGTTTGTTTGGGATCAGTTTTGTTTTTTTGTTTTTTATTTTTAGTTTTGCTTTTATTTTAAAAACATATTTATTTAGTGCATTTAATATATATTTTTTATTTTTTGTTTTAAAAAATATATTAAATTGTTTTTAAAAAAACTCAAAACATCTAACGACATTCTATTTCAAATAAAAGCATAAACAAAATAAAATAAAATAAAATAAAATAAATAATAAAAATCAAAAGTGATCCCAAATGGATAAAATAAAATAAAATAAAATAAAAAATAAAAATCAAAAGTGATCCCAAATGACCTCTTAAGCAATCTTTCATCTGAAAATATTGGTGAGTAACTATAATCATAAAAGAACGAAAACCTTTTCAGAAGTATACGATCAAGATTGCAAATTAGGTTCTACAAAATGAAACCAATTAATTCTAAGACAGGTAGAGATATCAAATTGTGGCATGGCCACATTAACAGGATAAAATAAAAACAAATTTAGTTGAAAATCTAAAACTTAAAAACTGGCTAATAAATCAAATTCTGGAAAATCAATTTTGAAACACGACATAAAGTAAATATTTAAATTCATGAGATTGCAGGATTCAAAGCAGAGGAGATGATGCAATTGTGCAAGAACTAGTTTTCGCTTGGGGGTCTAAAGAATGCGAATGGGTTTTCAACCCATATTGAAGTTGTCTCCTTTCTTTGACTTTTAATTTTTTATAAGATTTTACATATATTTATTATCATTTGATATGAATATGTATATACAAAAGCTAGGTGTACTAGCTTATATAAAATTAAATTTTCTTATTTAATTATTTGTCCAAAACTAATTTAATAACATTATTCCCTTATTTAACTCAAAGTTCACAGGATCAATGTCCTGCAGCATTTCAATTGCCAATTCTACCAAGCAATACATGCATTGAGTTTAAGGAAACGGTATTGATGGACTTAGGGTAAGCATATTAGTTATATAAATTAATACCTATAAATTACAACACATAATAAAACTTAAGAAATTTATTTCCTTCATTTTTTTTTCCGTAACTCTCCAGCCAAGTGCCCAAACAGTAAGTGCTGAGTTAAGGAGATGAAGAAGAAGAGGAGGGAAAATGAAAAGGGTAAATGAAAGCTAGGGTTTGAAGGTAATTTTTGACATCGGTTTTGGTGAGGGAAACGTAAATTTAATTCCCAACATCACCAATAGACTTAGGATCTTTTTCTAATGACACCCAATCCTCCCTTTCATTTTAAATGAGCTCTAATTGAACTCTTACTCATCTATTGTGATTAGTAGTCCAATAGAAAGTTCATATTGGAACACAGAAAATCAAAATCTAATCTAAGTTCGATTAGGTTCAAATTGACTCTTAGGCACCGCATAAGATCATCAAGTTAACCCAAAATCAACCTTGATGTTTTAGGACCATTTCTAATGAACTTAGAAATTTTTTCACTCTCCCTTGAGCATAGGGAGGCTTATTCAACTCCATTTGATCAAGTCAACCTCAATTGACTTGTGCAGCACATCAAGATCAACTATCCTCAATCTTTAAATTTTGACTTATATTGTTTATAATCCATCTAGAGACTATTATAGATCGATTTCAACTCAATTTGAGACCTTTAGGCCCTTGGTCGACCCAGGGTAACTAGGTGGCCCATTAAGGGCCCATTTAACCTAATCCAACCTGAACCAATTCAAATCACTCATAATTGGCTCTAAATGAAACTAATGACTTTAAGATAAAGTTTGGATTCATCCAACCTCATCTAAAGGCTTGGTCAGCCTCTTTAACCAAAGGACTCAATTAAGGCCTAGTAAGGGTCATTTGAGCGAGATTTCAAATATTCCTCAAGTAATAGTTCTAAGTGGTCAGTTTTATTACGAACATATTGAACTCTCCGTGACCCCTATAAGCAATAGTCCTAGAATCAGAAATAACATATAAATTGATTCAAGCAAAAAAAATCCTAATTCTGATTCAAAAAATAGCAAAAAATAGGGCCAAAAGGATTGGTGGCCACCCACATATGCGAGAGAATTCCTGTTAAATTCTAGGGGTGTCAAAAATTGACCTTTCACGTGAACATAACTCAAAAACATGGGTTCAAGTTGATCCAAATAAGTTTCAAGTCGGTTTCAGATTAGAAATCCCAACCCATTAAATTTGTTTGGTCAAGTTCAGGTTGACTCGCCAACCCAATATCAACCCAAAACTGGCCCATTAACCTGAAATTTACTCGAAATTGACCCAAAATTAACTCAAATTTGACCCAAAACTAACTCAAATTTCATACAAAATTGACTTGAAAATTTGTTATGTCTTATGTTAAATGAGTTATAAGGGTTGGATTTGGGTCAGCGGATTGAGGGTGGGTTATATTTGGGTTAGACTTTATGATTTGTTTAATATTCAGGTCAAGTTCGCATTAAGCAATTTCAAGCTAAGCCAATTAGGACAGACCTGAACCCAACTAGTGAACCCTAACTAAGTCAATCAGGGGATGTGAATTCCACTCCCTCTGAGATCCCATGCATGCAGAAGATAGAGGTATTCTGCTCCAGCATTAACCCATGATGAGGTTTTTGCATCCCCTAGAATGCTCCCACAAGAATTTCTAAAACCAATCTAAATCTAATAAAACTAATAAACTCATTTCGATTAGCATGAGCCAAACTAAACCAAATCTAATCCAAAATTAAATCAACTCAATAACTCCTAAGGCCCAATCATAGCTTGTCAAACTGGGCTTTGACGCAATTTTGACTCGATTGGGTCTAATTAAATTAAATTAAAATTAAACTCAATCTAATTGGATTCAACATACTCAAACACTTAAAGAATTTTTCAATTAATTGGAACCCAAATTAAGGTGAATTGAATCCTAATTAGGTCAAATTGGGCTTGGACTCAAAGTGACCCAATGGGTTCACATGAACCATTTCGACCAAATTAAAATCTAAGCTTAACCAATTGAAATCAAAAACAAACTAAACTCTCCATTTTTTTTTTTAATTTAAACCAATTTCCCTCCGTGATGAGAAATCAAATATAACATTGGCTAGGGACTTCATGCATTTTCTTGAACCACTCCCTAGCCATGGGACCGTTCAATTGGGTTCAAATGGATTTTCAACTAATTTGAACCCAAATGAACTCCCTTAGCCATTTCACACTAAATTGAATCCAAGCCCATATTGATTGAACCAAAGCCAATTGGAGACCCTGAGAGCCTGCCTAGACCCACTCCAACCAACTGAGCTAGCTCAGAAATAACACCCTATTAGCCAACCTAAGCCCAATCCTTCTCAATACGTAGGCAAGCTTTCCGAAATTGGTTATATCAACAGCCTTCCCTAGCTCCCTAGGCCTTGCCAGAGGTGCTTGATCTCAACCCAAAGCTAGGTTGGTACCCCTTGGGCTAGCCAAAAACAAGTGGTATGTATGACCACCTCAGCCATCTCTCTGTTTATCCTGCTGCCTCTAGCCATTCCTGGCCCTCAAGGACTTTTTTATTTAATGGTGACCACCCATCCCTGTCCACCATAACCTGCCTGAGCTAAACCAAGCCAAAAGAGGTCGGTTTTCTCTCAGGCCAAGAATGGGCCTCGCCCTCCATTAACTAATGTGAAACCTTCCTAAGATCCTAAGCAAACTTCCCGTACGCTCTTCTCCTCTCCATAACACTTGAGCCCTTCCAAAGACCAAGCCCCTGTGCATTTAGCACGAGCTTGATCGAGCCACCTCACCAAGCATCACCAGGCATTCCAAAGCTCAAGAACCTCCTCCTCCAGCTCTCGTGAGGCTTAAGAGATCAACTTGCATCTCCAACCCCACTGGAACAAGGTATTCCTCTTTCCTGTGTCTAAGCACATTTCTGTTTGGAACTCCAAGAATGAGACTGAAGAAGAGATTAAATGAATTTCAAGAACACTAGAAGAAGAGGAATTAAGAATAAATTTATTACCAACATTTTTTTTAATTATTGAACTTCACATGATGGCTTTTCATTTAGAGAAGATACAAAGAAAAGAATATATACATTAGGAAGTATAAGAAGTCTTGTGAAAAATGAAAATGATTGGATAATAAACAAAATAAGGGGGTGAAGGTATTTTGTATGATAGGGATATATGTCCCCTGCAATGATTAAAAAACAGCGAACAAAGTTAAAAAATCAAATCAGGAACAACGAAATTAAAATTTTAGCAGCAAAGGTTATAAAATAGCACAATGGCTAATGAAGATCCATTGGAAAGTGAATGCTAAAGCATATTAAGTATTGCACTAGGTTACGACCCAGAGGATCAAGGATAAATATGTTTGACCCCCTATAAGGAACTTCCTCAAAATATAGGCTTAAGGAAGAAGGAGGAAAAACACAAAAAAGGGGGGTTGCATTTTATTACTCTCCAAAGTGAAATATATACATAATACAAAATATCCAATGACTCATTAAATCTATTAAGCACTCGTAACTACCTATTAACTACATAACTCATAATGACTAATTAAGCTAATGAGAAGAGTATCAAATAGTCCTCTGACTCTTTGTAGGGGGCATTTTTAATCCCATAATCTATGAAAATGTAAATTTAATCCCGAAACTCTTTTAATGAGAGAAGAAACAGTCCTCCCTGTGGACTTTTTCAGCCCAAATTAAAAGAGTATGGGACTAATTTGGCATTTTTATAGATTTTGGGACTAAAATGCCCCTATGTAAATATACAAGGGACTATTTTCACACTTCATTGTTAAGCTAACTACCATATTTGTTACCCATGCTGAACACAAAATTGAATTTGTTGTTAAGAGCAAATGATGAGCAAAAGAGGTTGAAATATTTGTCTGATTTATTTAAGAGTTATAAAACCTGTGAAAGTAAAAATACAAAAATAAGCCAAATAATTGAACTATAATTTCATAATCGTATAAAAGAAAAATTCAAACAAAAGATACGGGTTGTTCATTGGTGTTATATTCAGCAACATGAATCCAGGGCAAAGTGAATTTCAATGTGCCTCATTGAAGCTTTGCACTTCTTAACAACGCAAAACACATGGCCCGTACTTTATTTTGCACTGGATAGTTTTATCCTTTTCATAAAATTAGCAGTATAAAACATAATAAACCACACGAAAACATCAAATTCCATAAACACCTTGAGGAAAAAGGTATGCCTTGCTAAGCGTTGGTCTTTCGTAAGGAGCTACCTGTGTGAAAATAAAACGTATATAATAGCGAGCAAAAAATTCATCAAGAAGCCAAAATAATATTCACATGACATGAAGAGAAATATATAAACCATCCTAGCATATAAAAAGTGTCATATAATTTTTCAATTTACTAACACAATAGAGGTTGTTTCATAGTTTGTTTCATGCATATTAGACGTCACCTATTGTGACAGCCGAAACTCTCACCCATCAAAGTATTGTCCTCTTGGCCTAGTGGCCTCACAGTTTTACCCTGTTAGTGTAACTTCCCAGGAGATCACCCAACCTATGAGTGTTTCATGTGAGCACGCTTAACTTTGGGGTTTCTAATGAAATTCCACCGTTACATCAAAAAGTGTCTTGATATTTCAAGGTTTGGCTTCATTCTACTTAGGGGGTTTAATAATCTCTCTCACTTAAGTAGCTGACATCCTCGTCAGTTCTCGTATCCCAGAATCATCCACCAGGCAGATAAGATTCTAGAGGTGACCCCTACAAACATAAAAGGTAGCTCCCACCATGTGGCATTTTGTCCTATCCAAGGTTCAACATGTGGCTCCCATTGCGTAGCACTTTGTTCTACATGACACTTAATTACCATCTTCCGACTAATGTTATGGTCTGATACCATTTGTGACAGCTCGACCTCTCACCCATCAAAGCATTGTCCGCTTTGGCCTAATGGCTTCACGGCTTTGCCCTGTTAGTGTAACTTCTCAGGAGATCACCCATCCCATGAGAGCATTGCCTTAGATGGTTTGGTCACATTATACATCGACCATCTGATGACTCAGTTAAAAAAGTAGTGTTTTAGATTTGACTTATTTTAAGAAAGGCAGAGGTTGACCTAAAAAGACTTGTGATCATTGTATAAAAAAAAAAAGTGATCTTAATTTATTAGAATTAAATGAAAATATAACAGGGCACAATCAAGAAAAATGATTTATGTACCGCTCTTACTTAGCGGGATAAAAGCTTTATTAGAATTAAATGAAAATATAACAGGGCACAAACAAGAAAAATGATTTATGTACCGCTCTTACTTAGTGGGATAAAAGCTTGTTGTTGTTGTATAAAAAAGGTAAGAGAGTTGAAAAAGAATACACATATGAAGGTCTACAATTACACCTAGAAGTATTTGGGTAATTTTATGTACAAACATTCATTTATGCATGTGGACTCATAATTCTAAACAAAATTATGATCATTCAACTAATAATAAACAATGGATAGCAAGCACAACTTCATATCAAAAATTGTAAAATTAGAAATTAAATATAATAAATTATGAGCTTCGTCAAAGATGGCTAATATGAGGAACTATCATATCAAATATATGCTATTTCATCTAGTCCATTAATATCATTTTTACAATTTTTTTAGCAGGACATACCAAATATGAGAATCTAACTACTATTTCAAGTAATGTAAATTAAGGGATCACCCCCATGTCTTACATGGTAACTTAGATTATTTTGGAGCACACAAGTATATCCTTAAGTGTCGACAAAGATATGAGTTTACTTTAGAATAATCACTGATTCACAGTAGTATCATGAATCAGAACAAATAAATGGTTGTGTATTTACAAGAACAAGAAAAGCGAACTGCTTGCTCAATTTTGAATAATGATATAGAATTAAGAATTTCTCCTGCCGCATCATTCACCATTGATGGTTATGGCATAAACCCAAGAAGGGAGAGATCGATGAGAATCATAAAATGAATAACTAACTGAAAACACAAGTAAATAGAAGAGGAAACAATCAATCTAAGTAAAGTGGAATAAAAAGAAATGCAAGAAAATGAAAAAGACAAAAATGATGTATGGTTAGGTTCAGCCCTAACCCAGCCTACATCCGCTCCACAACTTCCTTATTTCTTGGGCTTTACACTAGCTCCATACTTTGTAAACACAAAAAATGAAGTCATGCACAAAAGTTTCTTACAGATGAGGAAAATGCCAAACCCTCCGACCTCAAGCAGACCTCAAGCATAGGAAAAATCACTAATTGCAATGCTCAGCTAGGAGATGTGCGACGTATTGTTGGAAACACATCCCAGCTTTTAGAACTCTTGTAGGAATGTAGAAATTGCGCTTTATGGGCTAGGAATATGACTCAAAATTTCAAGGGAATGTCCCCAAAATAAGCTAAAATTCATTAGTTTTTTATGCAAAGTTATGAAAGGTAGTTATCAGCAAATGCTAGTGCTTGTTAAAAATCTCATGGAAAACACAAAGAAACACTGGATGTTACAAGTCCATAAATGGATTGAGTATGATGCACGTACACACACGCACAAACTAACTCAAACAAAGGCATATATACATATACATATATGTATATATATGTATATTCTCAAAAGGAATGGCCAAAGGCTATTATACGAGCCTCCAGCCACCCCTAGTGTGCCTAATAATTCGAGTACCAAAGGCTTTGTCCCAAGTGGTATACTCCTTTAATTCAAGAGTATAGGTCTCCGGTGAGAGCCCAATGGAAGCAATGTCGAGGAATTCTTTGACTCTCAGTGTAAGTTCAAAATTTGTAACTATCATTCCACCCCAAAAATATCTAACTAGCCTTATGCTCACCATGTATTAATTAAACTATTTGGGATAAATTTCTATGTTTAAAAAAAATTTGCTGGAAGTAAATTTGACTTGATCAACATATATCAATATCTAGAACAGAAAATACAGTTGTGATCAATGTATATATGATCAAGTGGGCTGCAAACAAACATTGAATGTACATATGTTAGTCCCAATCTATATACATTCAGGTTCACGCCGATTTTCCAATGAATATTTGAAATTTAAAAGTAACTATAAATATTAATCATGCAATAATGAAAAATTACAATGAAATATTTTATATTTGTATGATTTAATGAAGCAAATAATTTTTCAAAGCTAATGTTCTTTAGTGAACTAAATACCAATATAAATACCAAAAAAACATTTAATAGAAGATATTGAAAAACTTTTTAAAGAAAAAATCACTCTAACATATTTACTTGGATAAGTCCTAAAATAGCAAAATAAAGGCTTAATACAAGGAAACTTTGGCCTTGCTCGTGAAGATGTCACTCCCAATATATTAGGCGTGATGTCCTTAAGAGTGCCACTTACTACAAGCAGCAATCAGACATGAATTGATTGCATGAACCTATTTGCATACTTAAATAAATATTATCATAAAACAAAAAATGTTTCTTTTCATCAAAATCATCAAAAAAGCTTTTTAGGACTTGCGTAGCTAGCCTTTTTATGCTGAAAAAGAAGTGTTCTTATGTTAAGGAGAAGATAAAAATAAAATTTCCCCAGAAAAATATGCATCTAATAAATAAACACCAACAAAACACGAACCAAATACTCTAAGTTAACAACTAAAGAGAATAAAACCCACACAATCCATCTATAGCATAAAATTTAATTCCATCAGCATGGCAATCCATAGCATAATATAGATACAGTCCCACCATTTAGACATCATCAAACAGGAACAAATAGATGTTCAAATACCACTCCTACTACGTACCATAAAAAATAAGAGTAAAAACAAAGAGCAACACAGCCAAAGGTCTTTCTAAAGGGAAGCATGATAACAAACATAACATACTTATTTGTTCATATGAATGTCCTTAAGTTGCTCGTTAGACCAACAAGATCACAATAACAAAAGCAGAATGTGATATTCATTAAACATCCGAGCTTAATAAATATTACTCAAATCTATCAATCAACTTTGTGAATTTTGAATAATAAGCAATTCAATCAAAGTATTGCTTCAGGAACAGATTTAAATATAGAATAATAAACAGATACCGCCTCTTTTGAAATTATCGCCAACTCCCCTAACTTGACGCCAAGCCTTGCAAACTCCCTAGCAGCATATCCCTGGAAAATTCCACGCAAAATTTTTAGCCGATTTATTTGAAACGAATAGAGAAGAAAGCCTTTATCGATTCCCAGTATAAATGACTGAAAAAATAGCATCATCTTAACAACCAAGGGGCTGTTTGACTACAAGTAGGTTTAGTTCAAGTAGCATACAACAAATCTTGTAAATCTAAATTCAGCAAGTTTTGAAAATCCAAATTCAGTAAATCCCCATAGCAAAAGAAAAGAAAAGAAAAACCATCAGCAAGTTTTGAAAATCCAAATTCAGTAAATCCCGATAGCGTTAACAGCTGAAATTAATTCGGCAAAAGAAAAGAAAAACCAGTCTTACTCCTTCAAAATTTATCAAATCTCAGAATTTAACTTAAAACGAGAGAAAACAAGATTTATGCAGCCGTAGCAACATATAATCAATAATAGAAATAATCCCGCAAACAAACAGCCCTAGAGCAATCGGCCGGCGACTCATCTCAAGGAAAGATAAAAATGAGAAAAAAATAGGAAAATGGAGATCGGAGTTCACCGCAGCGACTCCACCACCGAGGATCAAATACTTGAAGTGCTTCCCACTCCCCGCCATTGTTCGACGCAAGGGCACAACCTATCCTCCGGCCGTATGAGCAAAGGGGACCAGTGAATATATAGAGCGCCGGCGATCGAAGGGCAGCGGCCAAATCAGTTTTATTAGTTGTGATCTCGCCTCTAAAACTTTTTAATTAGATTAATAACAAAATAGTTATTAGTTAAAACCCAAACGCCTTTTTATGACTAAAAATAAAATGAAGTTAATTTTAAATAACTCTAACAATAAAAAATTTGTATTGATTTATTGCAATAAATCAATACTAAAATAAATTGGAGAAATTTGTAAATGAAAAATGTTGACATAATATAGTTGTTGCATGTTAAAATAATAGATTTAGAGAGTTTAATGTCTTAGTGTTGTACGAAAATCTAGCACACTATTCTAAGAGATCATTGAAGTCTTACAAAAACATATAGTTCTATGTTTTCATCTTTTCGTGTTTTTCACGTAAAACTTTTAATGCACTTGTGTATACTTTTTAAATTGTATGGGTAAGTAATAGTCATGTATAGTTACATCGTAAGACCCGTTTTCTCTATTGTCACAAATTTTCTATCGCATAACTTTTTATGGCAAACACCTCAATATCCTTGTAGCATCAATTTAATGGTTGGTCAACGTAATATCGATAACAATAGATCTTTGTGCTCCAACTATGACCTATCTAGAAATTAAAATCTCAACCGAACTGAAATACATTTTTTTTGTTTTTTAGTGAGACCCGCTCTTTAATTTGAGTGGTTTTAATTAGACATGGTCTTGTGCCCTGACGCAATAAAAAATCCGAACAAAGGCATCATAACCAAGCATGTCTCAATGTCATTTTTATAAAATCACATGAAAAATCAAACTCAAATCATTCAATTTGTAGTGTTGAATGATTTGAGTTTGAGTTTGTTATGTTATTATTATTATTATTATTGTTATTATTATTATTATTATTATTATTATTATTATTATATATATATATATTAAAAATGGTCGCATGCAATTATATGAGCCACCAACCACTCTCATGTGTTCAATTGTTTGAGGTCTGTTATCACTACCGACAAACTGGCCAGAAAGGGATTCGAACCCATGACCAGATGGGACTTAGGATGTTCAACGAACCTGTTCTATCAACACGGAACGGATGTGCGAAAATTTAGCACACTATTCTAAGAGATCATTGAAGTCTTACAAAAACATATAGTTCTATGTTTTCATCTTTTCGTGTTTTTCACGTAAAACTTTTAATGCACTTGTGTATACTTTTTAAATTGTATGGGTAAGTAATAGTCATGTATAGTTACATCGTAAGACCCGTTTTCTCTATTGTCACAAATTTTCTATCGCATAACTTTTTATGGCAAACACCTCAATATCCTTGTAGCATCAATTTAATGGTTGGTCAACGTAATATCGATAACAATAGATCTTTGTGCTCCAACTATGACCTATCTAGAAATTAAAATCTCAACCGAACTGAAATACATTTTTTTTGTTTTTTAGTGAGACCCGCTCTTTAATTTGAGTGGTTTTAATTAGACATGGTCTTGTGCCCTGACGCAATAAAAAATCCGAACAAAGGCATCATAACCAAGCATGTCTCAATGTCATTTTTATAAAATCACATGAAAAATCAAACTCAAATCATTCAATTTGTAGTGTTGAATGATTTGAGTTTGAGTTTGTTATGTTATTATTATTATTATTATTATATATATATATATTAAAAATGGTCGCATGCAATTATATGAGCCACCAACCACTCTCATGTGTTCAATTGTTTGAGGTCTGTTATCACTACCGACAAACTGGCCAGAAAGGGATTCGAACCCATGACCAGATGGGACTTAGGATGTTCAACGAACCTGTTCTATCAACACGGAACGGATGGCGACACGCGCACACAAAGATATATATATATATATATATATATATATATTAAAAGAGCAACTCGTGGCTCCTCATGCGTTAATGATAATAGAGATAGTATAATTTTGGGAGGGAAGGAGGATCCCTACTAAAAATCAAAAAGATGCATTGAAACCTAAGGGTTCCTTTGTCCACATACAACACCACATAAAAAAGGATGTAGAACAAGATATCACTTCCAAAATTACATGTAACCCAAAAAGATATGTCAATCAAAAGTAGTATTCCAAAAATGAACTTATAGGGAAAGTGCAAAACGGAACTATGTAATCCGTAAATCCAATTATCTTGAAACTGCACAATCTTCCAATATGAGCGCAAAATTGTGACAAAGTAACAGTCCTGAAAGAGAAACAAAATAGTAATATGCGGATGTCGTCTTCTAAGAACTTGTAGATCACATCTGTTAGTAGAATAAATGACATTGAGGGGATAAGACATTAAAAGATGAGTCTTTATAAGCCACTGATAATATAAGCTGCAGAAAGAGAGGACCCGAGAAATGGTAAAGACCAATACCAGCAGCCTAAACCTCCAACAACCATTGCAAAATAAAGTATCATTCACCTCCCCTTATAGAAAAGGAAAGCATCATCAAATCATCCAGTATTTCTCAAATAAGCATTAGGAGTTATAAGGCTCCAAACGAAGAAACTATGCAAAAAACAGAGGTCATGGGTCTCCAATATATTCCTGAAATATTGCCACCAAAAAAGGAGCCATGTGCCTCCCAATAAAACCTCTTCTCTTGCCTCCAAACAAAACATATATAAGTGTTTGATGTACACCACCCAACAAAAAGGAAAGATCCAAAAGAGAATGGGATAAAACAAGCCATCAAAACCCTGCAGTACAACAACCTCAAGCACGTAAATAGGGAACATCAATAATATCACCATGAATCAAATTGGAGAAGGGGGAAGGGGGGTTTGCTTGATATAAATGTCATTGTACCCATGTTTAGCCAACCAATCCGCAGACCTTTTTCCTTCCCGATTAACAAAATTATACTGAATAGAGAGATTAGAGCTAGCCACCATACAACATATTTGATTAATCAAAATCATCATATTTCAAAGAGGTTTTACCCTGCCCGTTAAAGTGTGAAAAAGAACTTGAGAATCAGTTTCAATAATAAGATTAGAGAAGCCATAGGAAATGACAGTATGTAGAGCACCAAAAACAGCCCTAGTTTCAGCTTCCAAAGGAAAGATGCAAAGCAAGGTGAAGCAGATGCAAAGCAAGGTGAAGCAAAGAAAACCAGATACTGACCACTAGTATCCTGAAATAAACCTCCAATTTCAGACTTCTCGCCATTAAAACTACCATCAATATTACCCTTAATCCACCGAGGGAAAGGAGGAGACCACTTAATTAAGGTTGGTCTATGAACATTGCACTGCTAAGAAATAATACCTCCCAACGCTTTAGAGGCTTTAAAGAAGTTGGCAACAATAAGAACAACCAAATTATGGGGGGTATGAGGTGAGTTCTCATACTTGTGACTATTTCTTCCGACCCAAATAAACCACAGAACAATCATAGGGTAATAATGAAGCTTCTTGTGATAGTAATCAGAGTTCTTCCAAGTTTCCAGGATATTCTTAATGTGGAATCTAATTGGCCATCTTAAACCAAAATATGAACCAATATGATGTCAAACAATGGAAGCAAAATTATATTCATAAAATAAATGATTAGGAGATTCAGCTTCTTGCTTACAAACATAACAAACAGAGGCCAACTTTAAACCCTTCATTTTAAGGATGTCATCAAGAGGTAGAAGGTTATGAAACAATCTCCAAATAAACAAGAAGATAGAAGGGGAGATGAATTGGTGCCAAGTATATTTACTCCAATACCACTGAGGATGGTTGTAGAGTTGAGTGTATAACATTTTAATGATAGAGACATTAGAAAGTAGCTTCCACATAGGAACATCTCTAGAGACATTATTAATAGGGATGTTAGCAATGGAAGTAGCTTCTTCACCAACAAGAGTCCACAAGTTAGCGATATTCCAATCTCCGTTAATCCAGCAATCCCTCACACAGATATATATATATATATATATATATGCATAAAAAATGTATTCATTTTTAAAAATACAATATTTATATTTTTGATGTGATGAAAATTGAGTGGTATAAATGTAAAAGTTCAAGTGTTTGATATGCAAATTCCAAAAAAAATTGCATGGAATGTTTGTAAATGCTAATGTTTTATTTTTAGTGGGACCCACTCTTTAATTTGAATGATTTTAATTGGACCTAGACAAAAATTACACCCGGTGTTCTGACACAATAAAAAATCCAACCTAAGACATCATAATGAAGCATGTCCCAATGACATTTTTGCAAAATCATATGAAAAATCAAACACAAAACATTCAACTCTTAGTGTGTGAGTGTGTGTCTATATACATTAAAAATGGTCGGAGGCAATTATACGAGTCTCCAACCACCCTCATGTGTCTAACTGTTCGAGTTATGTCTTTACTACCAGCAAACTGGCTAGAGATGGATTCAAACTCGTGCCCTTAGGGCACATACAACCTTCAAAGAAATTGTTTTATCAATGGGTCACACATGATGACACATATAAGCGCGCATGAACAGACACACTCGCGTGTTCGCATGCGCGCGCTCACACACACACAGATATATATATATATATATGTAAAAGTTTAGTGTTAGATATGCAAATACAAAAAATTTGGGTATGTTTGTAAATGCTCATTAATCATATAATCATAAACATTATTTTAACTAGTATATTGGTTATTATTCTATTGTATAAAACACTTATTTATAATATTTAAAGTCGCATTAAATCACGATTTTTTAAAACGTATATTTTAAATATGACCCGCGTCCATATAAATATTAGAATAAAATGTTATTTTAATAAATTGTTTAATAATAAATATTCTGCATAGATTGCTGTTTTGACACACTCTTCAATAAAACTATATTTCTTAATTTTGGGAATAGAAAGCTCATGCTCGTGTCTGATAAATATAATATTTTATGATTCTTTTGGGACAGCTTAAAATTGCGGGCGGTATTTTTAAAACGTCGCCGTAATCTTTGAACCGCGTGTTTCAGATGCGTATATAAAAACTGCGTTTTAATTTTGTGAAAGACGCAGACCGCGG